CAATCTTGAAGGACCTCTCCGACGTCATATTTAGGCAGCTGAGTTGATATGATGGTTTTTTTTAAATGAATCTGTTAATGCTCCGATCCTGTGATGTCAGTTATTTTCAAAGGCCTACTAGTTCAGAAGAGATTGGGAAAATAGTGCCATGGCTAATACAAGGCTTCAAGCTATCGCTGCAGGAGCCAATCTTGAGGGGCTGAAAATACCCACACAGTCTGAATGTTCTCGTTGGGGGGTGGGTGTGGCTCTCACATTGTTTGAACAAGTTCTCACACTTTTTGATTACAGTGATTTTCCCATCGCATTTATGCGCTTCTAAAGGGCGTGTTCGTGTTCATTGTATGCATCAATCTCTATCAAATCACATTTATTATCCTTGTTTAGTACCGATCAAGAGATTTAATTTTTAATTTATAAAAGTTTATTTCTTATCTTCATCTATAGATTTTATAAGGAATTGGTAATATAATTTAGAAACTATATTGTGACATCGCAATGTAGTTCATCTTAGTAAATACTTGAAGCCTTTTTTTACGAACCAAAATGCACATTTAAAGCAGTGATAATACTATTTAATAGCGCAATAGTAATCCTGAAAAGGAGTACAGAATTTTTGATGTATCGCTCTTTTTTGTCATTGTGTCTTTGCATCATGTCTATTTAGTTGCATATCTAGGTTTACTAAGCTCTCAAAAAATAGTTTTGCAATAACCTTCTTTAAAGGCATAAGGAAAACTTGCAGAACATTTCTCCTTATTTTTGGAATGCTTAATAAACTTGAGTAATTGTATCTTGCATGAGAAGACGCACCGAAGTTTTGTGTGAATTTCCTTGCTTGACTTGTTTGTAGCAAAGCCAAATCACTGGTCCTTTAGGCCATTCTGTCCTAAACTGATTCAAACTTGATGCGTAAATTCTAAATCTTCTTTTTTTTTTGCATACAGGACCTCTGTATTGACGTCTACGATGAGGCAGAGCGCCGCCTAACAAACTCCTTTCTTGAGCCCACTATCGAGGCCCCCTCTCCCTCTGGTCCTATCTCCCGCCCTCTTCCTCCCAGCGGCGGGAGTCTCAGTGGTCGCCCACAATCCATGGCGGCGGTGGGCGGCATCAGTGGAACTACCGCGAGTACTACCACTACCGCACGTCCATCTTCCCTCATACTCTTTTTCCTCCCACCAAACACCGCCTACACCTCCGTGCGCAATCAGGCGCGCCAAAAACTTGGTCGCCTTTCCATGACTGCGTTCCGTGCTCTCGTTGTTGATGTACTCCACGAGGCTGCACATCGTCTAGTACCCCTCCTCGAATCCTCTTCTACTATCCCTCTTGCGGTGGTCAGACCGAAGATGCGACATCATGAGTACACCACTTACGGCGGGTCCATGGATGGCACTCGTGTCGCTGTGGACAATGATGATGAAGTTCTTTTGGTTGTTGGTAGCGGTAATGATGGCATTGGTGGTGTAGGGCATCGCCCCACCGATAAAACTTCCTGCATTTCTATGGATGACCCCGTCTATGATCAAGTAAGTACTTGATCTTAGCTGTTCTGTCTTCTGAGTTGCGCGTTGTTATCAGATAGGCTTGTAGTTTCTATATCCTGCGTTATTTATTTTTTGCAGCGCACTATGTTGTTAGTATGATTTAAACAGTGACAGTTTGGAAGTTTTATTAATTGCTGAGTGAAATCGGAAGTTAGTCGAAGTTCGAACGCGATGTATGCGAATACTTGTATCCATTTTTGGGCTGTACTAGATTCATTGAGCAATCACATATATAGTCCTCGTTTTCATTTCTAAGTAACGAATTTCTATTCCAAGCTTTGGATTTTTTTTTCAGTCCAAAAATTGAATTTTTTTTTCACTTATTCTATGCATGCATACTTTTTGTTTGTTCCTTTTAAATTGGATGCAGAATTCTACCATGGTTATCGAAAACAGTGATTATTCTTACCATTTCCATGTTAATAACTATCGCCTTTGTTTGTCTTGAACTTAAATTTCAATCCTAGGACAAGTAATAGATCGAATTGATGGTCGAAGTGTAAGTACTTCAATTGGGGCCGAAGCTAAGGGGAGCTTCTGTTTCATTGAGCCACGTTAGTAGGCGGTGTAGGCTAAGGGATGCCCATCCATTTTTACGCTGGCAGTCAATGTTGCCCTAATTTGGGGGAGGGGGGAGTTGGGTAATCCCCGTTCTTTTTTCATCACAAGCGTGCATGTATCCTTTCTGTGGTGTTCCCCATTATCATTAGGAGCATCAATATTGAGAAAATCCGCTCAGGACAAACTGATTGATTACGCATTGTGCCGCTGGTTACTTGAGGTGAACTTAAATTCCCTTTAAGTGTCTACTGTTTCTAGCATGCGTTAATTTTACAGCTGAATCGCACAATTAATATGATCCGTTACTTAAATGTGGGAAGTAGCATGCATACGCCTTCAAATCCGATCAAAGGTGGAGGTCAATTGGCGTTAATTTCTGAATATGTTGAATTGTGGACAGGGGATTTTCAAGCCTTAATTCCGCCCACTGTTCGCCTTAGTGGGTTTCCAAAACTTGGTTATGGGGAAAAATTGGGTACCCAATCTTCATCTGAACGGGGAGTTTGACAAGGCGTAACATTCAAGGACAGTAATTCTGGGCCGATCTTGTGTCATTCTCCCATTAGACTGATTCTCAGTTTTTACAACTTTTCTTAACGATCTTATACTTCATTTAGAATATTGAGACAAGTCGAATCTCAATGTACACTAGTTTTTGTTTTGATACACACCTGGTTCTCCTACAGCCTTCATTTTGTTCCTTTTCGTTCCTTGCCTTCGTCTCGGTTCACATCTCAGTCTTGAAAAATAAGTCGATAGCTTAGAATCATCATTTATTTTTAAATTTTCCTCATTGTATAAAAAACTCAAACATATCTGACATTTTCATGTATTTAGCCTTTTGCTGCACTTTTCATTGAGATATTCTTATATGTGATTGTGACAGTGGCTTCCACAGCGAGTGAATGATACATCGGTGTTATGCTTTGTTGAATCTTAGGTCGCGGTGGACACGGAGGTGGGCACTGTAACACGTGCCTCAGTATCCACAGTTCCTTCGATCGCCACGACAGCTATCTCCACAGCTGCAGGAGCGGTTTCGGTAGCAACGTCGACGACGTCACCAACTTTGGCGTTGGATGTTGCTTCGGAATCCTTACAGACAGACCAGTTACAGAAGTACCAAGAGGGTTCGCAAGATCACCAGCAGCTCGTCGTTTCCTTGGCCGAAGAATGCATTACCTCCTCAACCCCGAACTCGGTGGTCTCACCGTCCCTACTTGCTAATACCTCGCCTCCCTCCGGTGGCATTGAGTCAAGGCCGGGAAACCTGCCTGGCTCGAGGCGGCTGCATTTGGCTGCGACAGGTCGTCTCGCATCCTACCGGTAAGATAATGCAGACCAGCTTTTCTGCCTTTTGCTACCACTTATTTTCACTCTATACGGTTATTATTTCCTCCTGTTCTCAACACACATATTGCTAATTCCTCTAATTTTTGGTTGCAAAACGATAGTATGGATATTTTGTGAACGTAGATCAATTTGAAAACACCTCTTCCCACACTTTTTGGTACTTAATAGGCGTTTTTCGAGCGGTGTATTTGTAAAGGAACTTCTTTTAGTCCTCTCCATCTTCTTCAGACTTTTGTCCACTACGAATAGTTGTTTTCTTAACAGAGAATCTAGCGTTATACGCGCTTGCCCAATAGCTCCCCTTTTTGGCTAGTTGACTTCCCTTCCAGCCCTAATTATTTAGTCTTCATTTGCCTTTTCGATGTCATTGGTGAAAATGCACACCACAGTCGGATTTGACTTGTTTTTTTCCTCTGCAACCTCTCCAAATGTTTTGCTACTCCAAATCGCATTGAAACAGAAAAATAGAGTTCATTGAAAGATCTAGGACGACGTCAGTAATACTGGACAAGTCAGCCAGCTAAATGCATCTCTGTACCTTGTTGGACAATTGCTGTGGAGTAAATTACTACCGAACATAGCAGGCTGTTGGTGTAGTAGTTAGGCGCCATTATGACACCAGAAAAAGATATGATT